TAAGAATTTAAACAATAACGTCATCATCAACAACAACAATGAATCATTCTAGAAAGCTCATTCTATGCCAAACCCAGGGCTAAGCCTTAAATGTTGTTGCTCACTTGATTCTCACAGCAGATCTCTGAGCTTGGTATTGACATCCATCCCACTCTCCAGATAAGGAAACCAAGCCTCAGAAAGGTAAGATAACCTTCCCAAGTATACCACCAGCAAGAGACAGAGCCTAGATTTGAACCCAGGCCCATCTGATGCCAGGGACAAAGCTCTTTGCCAAAATATGATGCAATGCCAGACAAAAGCTCACTGCACTGCGGGTTTTGGTTTGAAAGGATCTTCCAAATTCCAGACTTAGTTTGTGCTATAAGACCAAAATCACTCGAACTGCCCCTGAAGAGAGCCTATGTCAGCTTTGCAGAGGTTGAAATAACTCTCTGAAGCCCTCAGAAATACTTATAGATGTCTTTAAATAGTAAACAAAGCAAAAGTAAAAAAAATTAAAATTAAAAAAAAGTAAAAGCAAATTGGTTTAGTGGAGAAGACACTGGCTTCACATCCCTGTTCTGACTCTTAGTAACTATGTGACCTCAGGACATTTGCTCTGCCTCTCTTAGCCTCCATAAAGCATGGGTAGAAATAAATTGCTTCAGAGGTAGTATTGGAGAACTTGCCAGCACAATGCTATAAATAAGTTACCTTTCCTTAAAACCATTCCATCGAGAACATTGTTGTATGGAAAGGCAATTGATCACAACACCTTCTAACAGAAAATAAACAAACCAACAAATCCTGATCACTTCCTTAGTGAGCATCCAAAGACCTTGAAACAATTGTGATAAATGCGATACGAAAGAATTGTCAAAAACTTATGAAAATCTAAGTGCATATACTAAGGGCAGTATCTCTCTGAACACATCTGGACTACTTCATATTTCCTTTCTCTCCCTCTCTCTCTCTCATGTGCGGGTGCACACACACACACACACACACACACACACACACGCTGAATCCCAATGTAGCATTACCTCCCTCATTCTCCAACTTGTGCCTAACACTTGTTCAGATAATAGATATCTCTTTTCTAGCTATTTAATTTCAACAATAAAAAAATGAGGATTTTGTGGAGATAAGGCACCCCAGACAACCGAAGATGCTGGTAGCTACTTATTTAGTGACAGAGGATTTTTGTGACTTAAAAGTAGAAGACAGCAGACAAGCTCTCCCCTGCTCTCACCACTTGGTTGACTCTAAGACAGGTGGAACTCACTTCTTGTAACACCAAATTTCATGCTGCTTTTTATGAGCAGAAGGGTCCATTTCTACATTACACCTCTGGATTTAAAAGAGGAAATTTAAACCTCAGAATAAGGTTTTTTGCTGAACAAAATGTATGCCAAACTAAGCTCTGACTGACCTCTGGTTTCTGAGTCCCGGCCTCCAAAGTTTTCTCTGGTTTCCAGCACTGGGTCGAACTCACTCTGGCTTATGCCATGTCCTTCTATGTGACAGTGAGGCGGGAAAGGGACAAGCAGGAAGACCACCTCTACGTCACACTTGGTGGACTCGGGGATCCCCAAAAGAGCCAGAGGGTTGTTTTAGATTCATGATCTGAGCGTGACTGGCTCTTATCAGCTGTGCTTCAGGAAAGGCACAACTGTGTTTTCCTAGGCATTTTGGAAAAAAAAAAAAAAATTCCAGCAAGCAGGGGGGAAAAAAATCATACAAAACAGCGGTAAGTCTGAGCCCTCCTTCCTCAGCCCCATAAAAGCCCATTTTTGAAGGCAGAGGCAAGCCACGCTCTGCTTTCTAACTAAACAATGGAGCGCTTGCATCTTTAATCTAAGCTGCCTACCGGATTCCCTCAATTTCATGACACTGGTCCAGCTTCTCACCTTTCCCTTGAATAGATGAACTGAAGCTTTTCTGACTCCTACACTTTAAAACTATATCCATCACCAGCTAACGGACAGGTTATTCTTGGATCACCGCAGATTCTGGCAAGATGCTGGGCCCAAGCCGACGAGGATAAATGAGAATACAATTATTCGGTTCTGCTTGCCGGGGCCACCGTGCCCGCTGTCATCCTCAAAATTCCCACAGAAATGAGCTCATTCCACTTTAAAACATTGCGGAGCTTAAAAGTTTAAGTCAGGCCAAGTTGATTTTGTGGGGTTTTTCAAGCTTTTACACTGTAATTACATACAGGACTTTGGGCCACCTATTTCCTCCCAACTGTAACATTTTACGTCTTTTTTAAGCATACGTTGAGGTTAGCTTTTTTCTTTCTTTCTTTCTTTTTTTTTTTAGTACATGTTATGAAATAAGATATGAGCTTGTGCTCAGCTTTAGGTAACTTTCTGCCAAAAGGCTGGACCAACACAAACTAAATATGACTATTTTCTTTATCCAAAGTACAGTTTTGACTATTACATACCCTCTTAATGTACATACATAAAACCAGCTCACAACTAAAGCTCCCTGCAGGTCAACTGAAATCATAACGAGATTTTCCTTTCATATAATGTGATTAACAAATGTTAGCTAACTGAACTCCAAAAAGACTCAAAAGAAAAAACCAAAATAACTCAAGCAGCACCGAGAAGTAAAATAATTCAACAATCTTTGCATTTTTTTCTTGCTTTTTCACATCTTTTACTAAGCAAATAGCCTGTTCCACTTAATTATAGATATGTGCTCTAGAGGCAGATGAAACGAAGAGGGAGTTCCAGCTCTATCTACTATAATATGAATTTCACAAGCTACAAGACTCCTTCAGCCTCAGTTTCGTGGCCTGTAAAATGGGGGAAAATGGTCTCAAAGGATTTTTGGGAGTGTTAAATGAAATAATGTGGGCTTAGATAAGCACCAGCAAATAAAGTGTTTTGTAAATGTCGCTATTACTGATATTATCTATCTGCTAAATATGGCTGCCTTCCAATGAAAGCATAAAATGCCAACCACCCTGACTGCAGTCTGGGATGCTTTGAGATCCATGGACTGCAGTAGATCCCTCAGAAACTTACAAGAATATACACAAATAGAGAAGTGGCCATCCATCTATTCCTTCTCAATTTTATCAAGTCATTACAAATGTTTGGGAAGCACCGACTATGATAGCTTGGGTCCTATAATCCTAAATCTCTGCAAAGGTCAGGAGAACGTATCACTAAACCTTTCAGCTCATGGAAGAGCTCAAGACATCTTACGAATAACAAGTGATTGCCAGAGTCAAGACTTCACGTGTTTATAAAGGATTTCTAACAGCTCTCCCTCAAGGCAGATACCTTCAAATATTAGATATAAATAAACTTGCTATCCTTCTGAGCTTAATCAATGCTTTTTAGAGTAAATAATCATTCCCACTTGAATTTCAACTGAGGCATCTTTTCTCTTCCGATTCGTTCTTGTAGCTTCAAAACAGCAAGATTCTAACAACTACCTTATTTTCAGTAAGGCTGTGCTCTCAGAGAAAAGCACTATTTTCCATCCTAACGAGAATACTGAAAAGGGAGACTGCTCTGTGTAGAATTTTTCATAATGCTATTTGGGAACAGTCTGCAAACTGTATATTTAAACTTTATAAGCAGTAATATTGCCAAAGAGAAAAACCGTATTTTCACATGTGGAGCTCTGAGCATATTTAAATGTTACTCAGTGATTTCCCCTAAAATCTTAACAGATTAAGATAAAATAATTTACTCAAATTACACAGATAAGATCAATGAAAAGGGAAGGTTATCACTCCCCAACCCACCCTCCAATCCCCACTACATTTGTAAACATACAATGGAGACAAAATCTAAATGCAAAGCTTCTTTTCAACAGGTCATTTAGTGAAGGATCACTAACTAAACAAGGCAACTCACAAACAAAATCTAAAGAGCCCCTTTCTGGCTCTCTTTTAGTAAAAGGTAACAATATTTACCATCTCAGCAAATGTAATGCATTTTTACCTCTATTTCTGTTGATTCCCTTAGTCTTCAGAACCTGATAATCATTTGATACAGGCATTCACCTTCACTCATTTATCATTTTGCAACATTGACCTCATCCCTTGTCATGAGCAAGTTTGGGTAGTTTAAACCCAGATGGCTTGGCTTTCACCTAAATTGAGAAGAATCCCTTCTCCAGTTCCATACAGCATGTTGATCTGATAACTAGCAGTCATCTATCACTTTTGGGCTTTGCGTTTGACCGCCTTAATGTTTTTCCAGCAGGGTTTTGTGATGTGTGGTTCTTAACCAAGTTTTGCCAAAAGTGATTGGCATGTAAAACGCTGTCAACTTGCTCTTTGTGAGTCCATATTTCATCTCAGAAATTCTTGTTCATATAACTTAATCTCCCCCATGTGGTTACTCATTAGATCTTATCATTAACTATTAAACTAAAATAAATGGAAACAAATTATTTTTTTTAATCTATTAGCCACTGCCAGTATTAACTAAGCAGCTGACAGCCAAGTGTCATTCTCTGTTAAGGATAGAATGTCCTTTCTGACTCATGTTTCCAGATCAGAAATATAAAGACTGTTTTTGAGATCTTAGGGTATCACAGGCAAAGAAATCCAAGATTACGCTTCGTCCTCATGTTTGTTCTCTGTGACTGTCACCTCTCTTTCCCCTGGTCACATATCTTATCCCTGACCTTTACACGTAAATGTTATCTCATTTTCCCACTAAGACGAGGGAATCAAGGCAGAAAGTGTGATGGCACCTATGATGTGGTGGCAACAGCCATTCCAGGAACAGACAGGGCCAACAATAATTTTATCACTGAGATGATAAAATGGGCCTCACGAAGCCCATCTTAATTTTATTCATATAAGGATGACGTCAAAAATAAGAATCCCAAAGAAATGCAACTGAATTCAATTTGCTAGCTATGTGCAGTTTTATAATGACTAAAAACCATCTTAAAGATCTGGTTATATTATTATATTTAATGGATTCACCTTGTCTAATGGAGTAATGAGCTTCACATTACCTGATCTCCATACTTACCAAGCAGACACACATTATACAAGGGTTGTCTGTGATAAATGGAATCTGGAGGACTTCACCTTCATTTTCACATTTTGCAACAGAACCTGAAGCGAAGGGGAAAATTAAATCTCACTTAGCAGCATTATTGCAAACATTTAAATTTTTACACTAATCCATTTTGAAGCAACTACCCAAATTCAGAAATCTCTAATAAGTTTTAAATTATCAAACTCAACAAAACCAAATCCCCCCTAAAAAATAATTATTTTAAATAGTATTGAGGTTTAAAAAAAAAAAAAAAAAGACTGCCATATATAGATTCTCTGCTCTCGGATGACTTAAGTACAAATCCAAGTATTTCACTGAATCTTTAGTACTACTCCTTGATGAAAGTATTTCAACTAAACACATTCCCCATATGCGAAAAAAAAAATTCAAAGTGGACATTAGGGCAGAACCCAATTCAGGACTGCAGCAATGAACAGGTCTTTATATGAATCTGCCTCATATTATCTTGAGTTTAAATCACTTTTTGAAACAATCTTCTCTCCTCCTCTCTTAGATATTGACTCAATATTTTCTTTTCTGCACCAGGTGTCAGTAAAGTATGTCCTTCAGAATAGTAGCTGAGGTCTTCACCTGCCTGAAAGCATATCATTATTATATCCTGCTGGTATTACCCTTTTAAAATATGACAGTTTCTTTAAATTCAAAGTCTGAAGTGCCAGTGTTTTAAAAAGCACTCCTCACACAGAAGCTATATCGGAACCTTATAGAGTGAGAAAGAAGGAGATGTGGAAAACGGCGCAAATGTTTTTCCTTGGCACGCACAGGAAGAGAAGAGATCAAAACGAGGGTTGGGGAAAACAATAAAAATAAAGAAATCTCTCAAATTCAAGTAGAATTTCTATTATCACTATACTGATATTAACAGTCCTCCACCCCTCGACCTACTCACTGCCTTCCCACCCTTTAACACTGCGGGCTCCGCTTCATCCCCACCGGCCCGCGGGTGGCCGGCGCCAAGGTGCTCGCTCCCCACCCTCCAGTCCCCCGGGCGAGCCAGTGCCTCGCCTCCCAGGTACCAAGGCTGCGTCCCGGAGGGCTGGTCCCTCCCGCCCCCTCCCCTACCTGTCAAGAAGGAGGAAGCCAGAGACATGGGGACCCCCGAGCAATTGAGCAGCAGCAAGACGCAGCAGGTAATCCCGGGCGAGCGCCGGCAGGGACGCTCAGCCAGAGCCCTGACGCCGGAGAACCAGAGCATCGTCACCTGGAGGGAATCCCGGGCGACTGCAGGTCCCGCGCCGCCGCCTCTGCTCCGCTACCGCCGCTCGCAGTCAAAAAGGGCTCTCAGCCGGCGAGTCAGGAGACAGTCCGCGAAGGAGGGAGGCGGGCGCCCGGGAGGGGGGGCTGGGGGGGGGGGAAGCGAGGGGTGAGGGGCGCCAGGGAGGAGGGGTCCTGCGGCCAGGCTCCTCCAATGCGGCTTTTTTTTTTTTTTTTAGGGAGTTGCTCGCAGTGGCTTAGTCGTTGGCCCCCCTACGCCACAGATGGGGCCGGGAGGAGGGGATGGCGGAGCAGCCGGAGATAGGCCGAGAGGAGAGGCTGTGCTGCCGACTGCGCACCGCCGCCCCGCCGCCGCCGCCGCCCGGGCTGCGGCTACTGCCCCGGGCGCTGCCGCCGCCGCCGCGTCCTCCGCTCCCGCACTCCCCACCGCCCGCCGGGCCCGCCGGCTCCCCGCCCGGCCGGCGCGCGCGCACGCTCCCGCGCCCAAGACCCGGGCGCACCGGCCGCCTCCCGGAACCCGCTGGGGGCGCCGCGCTGCAGGAACCCCGCCACCCGCACGCGTCTCTGCCGGGAGTCCAGCCGGCTCCCCAGCCCCTCGAGGGAGGCCGCCGGCCCCGGGTCGCGGATCCCAGCCGGGCAGGCGTGTCTCCACGGCCCGGCGCGCTCGGTGCCTCCTCCCTTTCTCGGGAAAACCCTCCCTTGACGGGGAATGCCACACCGCTTCTGCTCAGGCCCGGGCGCCCCAACCCTATGAGAGAGCAGAAAATGGGGCGAAGGGGCACCTCACCACCCAGCTTTGGGAAGGAGCGAAAAACGGGGCGCAGGAGGGGGCCAGCAACTTTCCACTCCCCGCTTTGCTTCCCTCTGGCGGGGACGCGACAGCGGACTGCCGGTCTGAGCAGACACACGGGCGAGGCACCTTGGACACCAGTGTTCACTGCTCGTCATGACATTAGGAAGGACAGAAGTTGAAACGACACGCAAGGTCGATTAGTAAAAGTACAGAGGCGAACGCTTTTCGCCCTTAAAAAAGAAGTACAGACGCTCCCAAACTCCTCCCTTTCAACCTCAGGCGCACAGGGGCGGGGAGGTGCCGTTTGACTAATCATTCATTCACCCGCGAAAGAGGGAGGGGCGCGCCGGGCGGCTAATCTCTGGCGGGGGTGTGGGGGCGCCACCGCGGCCTCCGCAGCTTGGTGCTCTGTCGCCGCCGCAGCCGCGCTGCGCCTTTCCTGCCCTATGGCCCTGGGTGTCGGCGAGTCCGACACGCCCCGCGGATACCTCCGTCTGAATCGCGGCCTTCTGCCCAAGCAGTAGCACCCTCTGCTCAAAGAGAGGGTGAAATGGAGAAGAATTTTTGTAACCAAATTGTGAAGGCGCGGGGTGGGACTTAGGGGACATTTAGCAAATGCTGGAATCTGATAATCAGCTGTCCTCGGAGCTCCCCTTGGGTTGCCGGCTACCTCTCCCCAGAATGGAAACCGGGTCCCGCGCGCCTCTCCTCGCTGCAGATCCGCCGGGGTGGATCCCCAAGACAATCTGACTAGCCAACGACTTTTCTCAGCGGGACGCACTTAGCAGTGTCACGGGAAAGAGGGTTGTTTGCAGCCCCAGAAACCATACTTTTGAAAATAAATTAGTTTGTTTGCTAACACATTTAGTCTAGTTCCATCTTATCCCCTCCGCATTTGGGGCAGGGGAGTGGGGGGTGCTGTTTATTTGTTTTCATGTTTTAATACAGCATTGCCAACGAGCCGCAAGGCAAGGAGCTGATTGGAGCACATTGCTCCGACAGGGAAAAAGTAAGGGAAGGGAAAGCTGTCATTAGTCTAGCACGCTTCATTTCCCTCTCAAAATAGGTTCCTAGTGTAAAACTTAAATTAAAAGAAAAGAAAGATGATATGTGGCTCTTTTGGGGGTCACCCTCCTCTCCAGACAACCTGCCATGGCCAGGCAGCTTCTTGAAAATCAGAGTGTGTTTTACGTATTTAGCCATAAAAAAAAGAAATTGTAAAAAAAAAAAAAAGAAAATCCTCTAAACCCCATCTTACCTTCCTATTCATAGTGGCTGATTAAAAAATAAAATGAAAACTTTTCTTACTAGATAAGTACAATGCGGTGAAACCACTGTCTTCTCAATCTAAAAAGATTCTCTCTGCATGGGGTTTTTAGAAAAAGCTGTTAATCACAACTTAACTAGGGAGAAAAGAATAATGGGGAGACTGAGACCTTTTATTGCTGCAGACTTGAGCAGTAGATTTGGATAAACACACATTAAGGAACCAGAGGAAATTTGAAGAAGGCGAGTGAATTGCTCCGAGGTGCCTTCCCTGGCACCAGCTACACACCCTCAAAGGTTTGCATGAGAAAGTCCTTCATGATGGAATCTAGGTGTGTGTGGCCTTTGTTAACCAGGGGCATGGTGCTTAGGGATGCATCGACAATCTCCCTGTAGGTGCAAATCCCAAAACCACCTGGAAAACATTTTCATCTGCCTGGAAGTCTACGAATGGGAAAGATGAACAGAAACCTTTGGCAAACCTGTCTCCTCTTCCTGTTTGTTCAAATCTGCTGCCACCAATGACTTCCCTTGCTGCCTTCTCAGCAAATGGGGCCTACTTCTATAACAGCATCCCACTTCCCGAAGGGCTTACCAGAATGTTCCTGCACACATTCACTGCTGCTGCCACTACCCCTTCAAGTGATAGTCTATCAGCTGCCAGTTGGTCTCTATCTACACAAAGCTGAGATATTTCAGGGTCCGAAAAGAAAGAAAAGAAGGCCTCACGGAATGACACATAAATCTGCTTTCTATGACTAAAACAAATGGTGGTACCATCCAAATCCCAAAATGCTCTTGACCGAAATCGAAAGAAGACAATGAATGTTTGGCTTTGTTTACAACGTTTTTCAAGGAGAAGGAGGTAATGGGGCTCAAAGACCATTGCTTAACTCGCGGCCCATTCCATTCTCAGTTAGATAAAGCGCTGTCTCATCCTCTTTAAAATAAAATATATCCCCTAATCTTACTAAAAGGAAATCGGGCCTGTGGTAGGCGAAATTCTCCTCATCTCTTGCAAAACTATGATACTGAAGTTGCAGTGAAAAATCTAACTAATATATAATTTAGCAAAAGAGATGACATCAACCCAGCATCTAAAAATAGAAATAAATAGATCCATCAAAAAGGCAGCAGGGTAAAGGAATTGTGATACCAACCACTAGGGAGGGCCGAAAGTATTCCATAACTGTGTGAGAGTTTTGCTTTGTTAAAGACATCAGGCTAGCATGTTAGACTTGATAAGGATAAGGGGTTGGTGCTACTAAGGAGTTTACCATCTAGTGAAGGAGATAAAGCATGTTTGTAATGAACACAGTACAAGGTAGCAATGAATGTGGTAGTTTCCCCTTATCTGCAGACTCTCACTGGGTCCTAAAACCACAGATAGTACTAAGCCCTATATATACTCTGTTTTCTTCCTACACATACCTATAGCAAAGCTTAATTTACATTAGGCACAGTAAGAGATTAGCCATAACTAATAATAAAATCAAACAATTATAACAGTATACTATCATAAAATTTTGTGAATCCGCACTCTGTCTCAATATATCTTATATTACTATACTCACCCTTCCTGTGATGAGGTGGGATGATAAAACACCTTTTGTGATGAGATGATGAAGCTCAGCTCGGGGAATGACACAGGCTTTGTGACTTAGGCGACTACTGACCATCTGATGATTCCTCAGAAGGAGGGATCCCCTGCTTCCGGATCTCAATTGACCACTGGCAATGGAAGCCGCAGAGAGCGAAACCACAGATCAAGGGGCATTGTAAAAGGAGAAGATAACATGCCCTGCTGTGGAAGTTTAAAGAAAGAAGAAATTAAGCTTCCCGGGGGACTTGGCACAGGAGAGACGCCTTGAAAAAGGGGGTAGTCTTAGTAGGGGAGGTGCAATCTGGCAAGGACAGAGAGTCACAGCCAGGAGAGTGGGGAGTGCCACCCAATTGGCTCTATCTGTTGGCTGAGCAGGAGCTGTGAGAAGCCTGAGAAATAGTGAGGAAATCATGAGAAATGAGAAATAGGGAGGAATCTACAGGCAGCAGTTAAAGACTCCACCACCAGATGAGCAATATGAAGTTTACCATGGAGGAGGTGTTTAATTCTTTAAAACAACCAGACTTAAAAAAATAAGTAAATGAATAAAAACTAAATAAAATAAAACAACCAGACTACATTTCTTTAGAAAGGAAATTATTTCTGCGGTATATTCAGCAATCTGCACAGGTAGTCATTATTAATCATGATATGGGAGAGCACCATTTCCACTACATCTGTATTAAAGGGTTTGGGCGATTCAATGCATAATACACATGAATCTGTTTCTCAACCTCTTTAGCAATGGCTATTTAATTCTGCTTGGGATGAAAGTACAAATGCTGCTTTTAACTATTTTTTTAAGCACTGGAGATCTTAGATATCATATAAGCCAACTTCCTGCCCTTTCACTTTAAAAATGAGAATCTGAGAGCTAAGAGATAAACGACTTTCCCAAGGTCACACAGCAAGTTAATGGCACAGCCCATTTAAACAGAGTTCCTCTGGTTCTCGGACATGGTGCTTTCCATTACAAATGTTCTGCCTTCTTAAGTTATAGGAATTATAGGAAAGCACCATCGGATGTTTTAGATACGATGAAAATTAAAATTAGAGTTGATGCAATACTCAAAAATCTATTAAACTCAACTGCCAGCAGTAACACAAATTCTAAAACCATAAAAAGCAGACCATAACTTAGCTGTACAGTAAATATACTCTTAGTTCACTAGACTAAAATGTTAAAGAACTAACTGCACTCTCTTCTGGGCTTTGCCACTGGTTGCTTAGTTTCTGGTCCTTCAGAAAGGGGTGGGTACCATTGCAGCTGGTGAGAAGTCCTCGGGATTCTGCCAGAGGGCTCTTCTGTCATTGTAAG